CCATAGGTGGACTGGAAACAAAGGGCTACCACTAAAATTTCATTTAGAACCAAAGGTACTCAGTAGGGAGGCAAAAAAAAAAAAAAAAGGAAACCATGCATGGAGAGACACTCTCCAACGTGCTGGAAAATGGGGAAAGCCTAATGCTAGCAGTGGATCAGGAACATTGAGAGAAGCCTTCTGGAAAACCATTCCCCAACATAACGACACAAGATAATGCTAAAGAAAACTGAAGATAGTGGAGCACTGAAGGTAACAACATTAACAACCAAGTTCAAATCCAGTTCAACTCCTGCCTACACTGACTCAACCTCCTACACTAATGTTGTAGTAGAAGAACAGATGTTTATATTTCCAGGCATAAATGTGATTTACTATTGTCCCTACTGTCTTACACATGATGTCTGGCATTTAATCAAAAAAATTATGAGACCCACAGAAAAACAAGAAAAAAAACATTGTAAAAAGTATATAAAATGAAGCAATCAATAGAACAAAATTCATATATGATCCAGATGGTGAAATTCTCAGGAAATTTTAAATACTATGGTTAATATAATTAATGCCTCTATTGGAAAAGGTAGATAACACATGAAAAGATGAGTAATTTTTGCTGAGAAGATGGAAACTATAGGAAACAGTTAAATGGAAATGTTAGATAAAAATCAAAACCGTAATGAACATAAAGAATGCCTTTGACTGGCTCAACAGAAGACTAACACAGCTGTGGAAAGAGTCAGCAAATATGAAGATACAGTATATCAATAAAAATTACCCAAACAGAAACACAAGGAGAAAATGATTAGAGAAAAAGAAAAAAAAAACGAGCACTGAGAGTGTTGAGGCAGTCTAACATATATAGAAATAAATATGTATTGTGGATTTATATATGTAAGAGTAAAATGTGTGATAACAATAGTGCAAAATATGTGATAGAGGAATTAGAATCATACTGTGAGGTTTATAAACAATGAGGTAGAATTACAGTATTTGAATATCTAAATATACCTATTAAATGTTAGGGCAATCACTAAAAAATAATGAGATAAATAATAAGTTGATAGTGAAAATAAAATGGAACCACAAAAAAGGAAAAAGAGAAAATTAACAAACAGATACAACAAATTTTAAAATTAGAAAGATTGTATTTTAATCCATCCATATCAATAATATATAAGTGTCATAAATATACAATTAAAAGACACAGGTTGTCAGGAAGAATAAAAAGGAAATATCCAAATATGTGCTATCTATTAAAAGTCATTTTAATTTTTTGTCAGTCCTCACCCAAGTATATGTTTTATTGATTTGAGAGAGAGAGAGCTAGTTATCGGCTGCCTCCCTATGCACCCCAGCCACAGATTGAACCCATGGCTTAGGTATGTGCCCTGGCCTGGGACCGAACTCACAACCACAGGACAGCGCTCCAACCAAATGAGCCACCTGGCCAGGGCTAGAAAGCCATTTTAGACACAGATAAATTCAAAGTAAAATCATGGAGAAAAATGTGTCATGTAAACACCAGTTTAAAAAAGGCTGGAGAGCCAACATTAATATCAAGGAGACTTCAGAACAAAGACTATATTACCAGGGATAAAGAAGTCACTTCAAAATGTTAATGTCAAAATGTTATCAGGACATAATGATAATCCTAAAGGTGTGTACACCTAACAGTAGAACTTCAAAACACATGCATGAAAAAGAGAACTGAAGAGAAAAATAAGCCAATCCACAATTATATTTGATGACCTCAACACTTCTCAGTAATTGATAAAGCAAACAGAAATAGTTTAAGGATGTACAATACTTGATAGCATGCTCAACCAATTTTACCTTATTGACATTTATAGAACAAGCTCACCAACAAAACCAGAATAGACATTTTCAAGTGCACATGAAACACTCACCAGGACAGACCATATTCTGCACAATAAAATAAACCTCAATCCATTTAAAAGATTTGAAGGCATTCAGAGTATGTTCTCTGATTGTATTGTAATTGAACTAGAAATCACTAATAAAATGATGTTTGGACAACTGAAATATTTGGAAAGTTTGCAAAACACTGCTAAATAATTCATTGGTCGAAGAAGTCCTTGAATATTTTGAATTGAATGAATGAGAGAGCACAACATATCAAAATCTGTGCAAAGCACTAAAGCAGGGTTTAGAAGGAAATTTTAAAATTTTTATTTCCAAAGAAGAATAGTCTTAAAGATTTAAGTTCCCATCATGAGAAGCTATAAAAAAAGTAAATTAAAACCAAAGCAAGCAGAGAAATAACTAATGGTGGTAAGAGCAGAAATCAATGGACTTGAAAATAGAAAAGCAATAGAAGAAATAAAGACAAAAGTTTGCTCTTTGAAAATATAAATAAAATTAACATAACTGATGAAAAATAATATTCAAAGTTATTTCTGTGTAGAGCTTATTCCTATGTGCACAACATTAGTATAGTTTCAATAATATGCTCATTGAACAAATATTTATTTAGTACCATTTATATGCCAGGCACTATCTTAAATGCTTGGGATACATCAGTGTCCAACACAAAAATTTCTGATGACAGCCTAGCCAACAAGTTTTAATTGGAGGCTGCTTCATGAGAAGCTGTACATTAGCCATGTCTTTGGTATAGTTCATGTGGAAGCTGCTCAACTAAAGGGATGAAATGCACATAAGAGCTGCATGCTGGTTTTGAAATGTTTTGCACTGTACATACCCTGTGGTCAAGTTTAATTTTGTGGTAACTGAGTTCACAATAAGGTCCCCAAAAGATAAACATCGACAGTGCCCACCTGCTACACACACACACACACACACACACACACACAAACATTGACAATGCCCACCTGCTACACACACACACATGTCCTCTTCTAATATAGGAACATAATTTGAGTCTAAGGTGAAGTCTCCAGGCCCAACAGGGTTATCTTTTTTCTATCAATCTCTTTGCATTTCATTTTGAGAAGTTTCTACTGACATTTTCAAGCTCACTGATTCTCTCCTCATAAGTGTCCAGTCTATCGATTGGCTTGTCAAAGTCACTTGTCATTTGTTAGTGTTTTTGATTCCTCAAATTTCTTTTGGATTCTTTCTTAGAGTTTCCATCTCTCTGCTTACGTTATCCACCTGTTCTTGCATGCTGTTCATGTTTTCCATGAGAACTGTGCCTATATTAACCATAGTGATATTAAATTCTTATTTAATAATCACCAGCTATGTATCAAAGCTGAGTCTAGTTCTGATGCTTACTCTGCCTTTCAGACTGTGTTTTCTCCTTGCCTTTTAGCAACTTGCCTTCAGCCCTGTAGTTTTCTCATTGAAAGCTGGACCTGGTATATTGGGTAACAGGAACTGAGGTAAATAAGGCTTTAGTGAGGTATGAGGTGTTTTTTTTTTTATTACATGGCTGGAAGTTGGGCTGTGTTTAATGTTTGCTGTATCTGTCGGTGCCCGAGACTTCAAATTCCTCACTGTTTTGTTTCTGCCTCCTGTTACCCTTGGGTTTTCCTAAGAATTCTTGCTCAAGTGTGTTTTGCAGCACTCCTAGCTGTAACCAACTGTTATTACCCTGGAGTGCTGTTGGTGTTGTGGTCAAGCATGGAAAAGGGAAAGTACTTTTAATTTTATAATTAAATCTCTATTTGTAGGGCTGTGACCTTCACAGGTGTTTCTTAGCTTCTCTCTCTCCAATTAGGTGAGACAGGAAGGCTGAAGGAGGCTATAGTTGGAGAAATGCCCCAGGTGGGATACGGCTCTGGTAGAATGGTTTCCTCTGGATAGGAGACTTTTGCTATGGAGAAGGTTCTGGACACATTTCATCCCAGAGGAGATCTTTCTGGTTTTACACTGCGAGAACCTGGGGGTTCCTGGAGGCAAGACCCATGGAAGTATGGGGGCCTCCCTAAGACTGCAGCCTCCAGTAGTTTCACACTAGTCCATACTCAGTCTCTGTCAATTCATCAAAATTACCACTCAAGTGTCTCCGTTTAGGGCTTCCATGGCTTCTGCTCTGGGTAAGTAGGTCTTGCAGTGACTCCCTGTTTCTACCTCTCTCTCCAGATTTCCGTGTGGTGGGCTGCCCTGTGACCCCTATAATTAGTCACAGAAAAATGATTAATTTCTAGTTTACTTAGCTTTTTCTGGTAGTAAAGATGGAAATGATGACTTCTAAGCCTTTTATATTTTGAAGCTGAAACTGAAAGTCCTTTTTGTTATTAATCTTTAAGCAGAGATATTGCTACACAAGATGGATTCAAATTAGATAATGCAAACCGTCCATTTTTCACACTTAATACCTTAATTTTATTTTGCTTTTTAGTTTTGATGTAATTTCTCTAAATATGCCTAAATATCTCTAAAATCATTATTTGACTGTCTGACCCATTCCTGTCCTTAAATTCTTCCATTTAAAATGAACTTTAGTGTCTAACCTGCTGATAAAATAAACCAGACCTATATCCTGCCATATTTTTTCTCATTGGTACACAGGCCACGTATTACATAGCAGAATGATATCCATGTGGCCCATACATTTTATTCCCAAAGTTTACCAACAGCTTCTGTGTGTGGGGATGAGGAGCAGGCTCGGGCAAGCACAGGCTACCTGTCGTGCCTCACAGTTTCCCAGCAAGGGTGACAGTGACCATGCCTCCCTCTGCTGAGTACAAAGGCAATCAACTATACCCAGACGGCATAGACATTGGGGACACAGATGTTCTGCGCGTGGAAAGTGACTTTAGCCTCACGTACCAGAACAGAATTTGTGTATTTCTACGTAAAAGTGACCCTCACCGAGAGTTTAGCCGCTGAGGGAAATCTTAAGCTCTCTAACAGGTTGCAAAGTGTTTGCATCAGGACCCAAGATCTGGACTTCCTACCTGTCTCCATTAGACCTATTGAAGTAGATACTCTGCCAGCTTCTCAAGAAGCTCGCAGCCCATTGGATCTTGCTTGTCCAATGGGAGGCCGCACCTTGGTTAAGTCGTTGCTGGGAAACCACGTAAACACCAGACAGCACAGCTTGCTGTTGGTTGCACGTTTGCAGTAGGGGGTTGTGCCGCCCCCCGCCCCACGCTCGCACCCCATCTCGAAGCTACAGACGGGGATTTTCGTCCACCAATATGGTGAGCGTCTGGGGCCGGGGTTAGGGGGTTTGTTGGGGGCAGGTCTTGAAACTACTTGCCTATCTATTGAGTTGTAGTTCAGATCTAGCCTGCTTCCAAAGCGGGGGGAAGATTTTGAAATGCTCAACCTGAGAATTAGTTGGAAAGTTCCATTTGTTTTCAGAGGCCTCAGGTGCGATTATTTAAGGGCCACTCCGCCGTACCTGCCAGCTTTGTATTTTTTCCGACACTATTAGCCCTCCCGGTAAAAATCTTATTTACCAAATTTCAGGAACTTTAGGAAATTATGAAGAACCGCTGAACAAATGAATGAGTAGAAATTAAAATCCAGGAGAGAGCGAATGGGTAATTAGCAGTGGGTTGATCTATTAACCCTATATTAGGAAAACCTGATGGGCATTGGAGAAGCACTTTACGGCCAAGCCGGGGGCCAGGGACAGCTACGGCGATGGCGCCTGGGGAGGGGGTGGACATGGATGCGGAGAGGAAGAGTTCCCTGCGTAGTGGTAGAGTTGCATGTGTGTAGAGAGCTCAACTCCACTTTGAATTCTAGTACAGCTGTTTATTAGCTGAACAACCTTGTAAAGTTGCTTTTACTTTTGTTTCCTCATTTATAAGATGGGGAATAATAACAGATCCTAACTACCTCATTGGTATATCGATATATTTACCTTCCATCTTTACGCTTTGTTATGGTATAGTTTCCTGAATTTAGGAAGGAAGCCAAAAGTCCTTCCTGACTTTATTTATTACTGTTACCTATCCCTGTGTCATTTGTCTCTGGTGCTTACATAAATATATTTTTAAAAATTAAATTTTGGGACACCATAACATGCATACTTGTTTTTTGTTTATTTGTTTGTTTTTGGCATTACAGGATTCCAAAAGAAGAATGAGCTTCAGTGAAAGGCACCAGAATTTAGTAGATAAAAACCTCAGCAAACAATTCCGTGTTGAGTCACTAAAAAAGATAGGTAATCAAGTCAGGAGTCAAATGGTGCAGAATGAAAATGAAGCCCGTGCTGAGCAAAAGAGATTCCTCAGATTATTACAAAATGAACAACGTGAGTTAGATATGGAAGAGGCCATTCAAAAGGTAAGTTTTACTATTTATTCTTAACATTTTTGTCCTTTATTTTTCTCCTTGGAAACAATGAAAGCTTAACTGCTTATACTGGAATTGAGTAGGTAACACCATCAGACAAAGGATACCTCACTGTAAGCCCAGTGTAGCGGTTAAGAGCTGGAGTTTGGAACTAGATTATGTCTTTGAATTCTATTACTGCTGTATATTAGTTGTGGAAACTTGGATGGGGTACTTTTACTTTTTATGCCTCTTTATCAAATGGGAATAATAACAATACCTGCTCCATATGATTGTTCTAATACTAAATGAGTTAATACATGCAAAGCCCTTGAGATAGTACCAGGAAGAGAGTTAGCACAGGTTTTATTTCATAAATATGAAATCTACAGTTACCAGTTTTATTCACATAAATACAATTCTGTTGCCTTCCATAAAATTTTGAAGACAGAAATGTAATACCTTTAGAATTTACTGAAATTAAATACGTGTATTATTAAAGTGGTAGAAAATGAACACTTATGTATTAGGTATAAATTTACTTGGTAATTTTTATTTTTGAAATACTGCCTTGAAGAATTCAAGTACAATTTATATGTATATAACTCCTAAAATATGGAGATAATTTTTCAGTGGAAATTTCTAAATATTTAAAGGGATGAGGAAGGTAGAAAAAGGGAAACCGATAAGCAATGAGTTCTTATAAATGTAAAAAAGGTGTCTGATATTTCAGTATCTTCTGCATTCCTGTTTTAAGTTTAACATTTTGTAGGACATTGTGGGAAGTGGCAAACGCAAGTTTTAAAAGTAGTAGCCATTTCTCTGAGTTCCAAATTCCAGAAACTTAGACATGAATTTTTAATCCTGAGCAAGAAGATCCTTGGGTTTAGATTTTTTCATATTTTGCTTTAAAGGTCATCCTAGATACTCTGTCAACTATATTCTGCACACTTTAGCATACATCTTATAAAATAGATATTTTCTTACATAATGCCACTGCCTCACCCAGTAGAATTATTGATAACTTCTAGGTATCATTTAATACGTTTTCATAAGTGAATTTCTGTGATTGTGTCAGAAATCTACATTTTCAGGTGGTTTCTTTTAATCAGGGTCTAAACAGGGTTCATACAGCATATTGGTTGTTACATCTGTTAGGTCCTCTTCATCTAAGGCAGCCCCTTTGTCATCCTTAATTTTTTTAACTTCATGTTTCTAGCTTATTAACTAGGCTGAGTTTATCTGTTTACTTCCTCATTGGTTTCTTTAGTTTGTTCCCCTATCTCTATTATTTCCTCTACATGGAAGTTAGCCTTAAAGGCTAAATGATTAGATTAGTATACAACTTTTTGGCAGTTACTCCACAGATGATGCTCCCCTTGACATTGTATCACATCAGCAGGCACATGATGACTTTTAGTGATGCTAATGCTGATCAGTGGTTGAGGGAGACAGCCTGACTCCCCCATGGTAAAGATCTCCACCAGACTTTCATCTGTAGTTCAGCAATGAATCTTTTCCTTCATTAGGGGTTGCAAAACACTGATTTCTCATTTTGTTATTGCTTTCACATTTAGCTGAAATTCCTCCCTAAAGAACTTTCCCAAATCAGCTAGGGTTATTTGATACCCTAAAATACAGTTCTTACTGGAAAGAGAGAGAGTTAATTTTCAGAGTAAAAAAAATGGTGCCCTAGTCACTTCCAGTTGTATTTGCCTATGTTGTTGTCTTTTAAAAATTTTGTTTTCTTTAGTTTTTGACTTTCTCTTTTTAAAAATATCTTTACGGATTTATGAGTCTTTACAATGTCCCCATTTTCCTTGCTAGTTCAGTTTGTTCATTAGATTCCAACTCATGTTGTTGCATGAATTACTCCTTTTAATTGCTGAATGGTATAGTAGTATTCCAGTATGTGGATTACTAATAAATTACATTTACTAGTAATTGAATTTTTTTTGATGCTCAAATTGTCCCATCTTTGGCCCATCAATGCCCTTTTACTGCTTCCATGTCCTTTTGACAAGACTCCCTTAATCTGTGATGGTATCCTTGCTTTCTGTCAGAACAAAATGATCCAGGCTAGTGATGGTTAATTTTATGTGTCAATTATGCTAGGCCATGGGGTGCCCAGATATTTGGTCAAACACTATCCTGGGTGTTTTTGCATGAGATTAACATTTAAATTGGCAAACTGTGTAAAGCAGATTGCCCTCGCTTGTGTGGGTGGGCCTCATCCAATCAGTTGAAAGCCTGAATAGACCAAAAAGGCTAAGAGGAAACTCCTCCTCCTCGTCTGCCTTGCCACTGGGAGGGGCAGCAACTTTTTTCCTACCTTCATACTTGAACCAAAACATCAACTCTTCCTGAGTCTCATGCCTGCCAGTCTTCAGACAGGAACTACACCATCAGTTTTCTTGGTTCTCAGTCCTTCCGACATAGACTGGAACTACACCATTGGCTCTCCTGACCCTCTGGCTTTCCCTCTCACCCTGCAGACCTTATGACTTCCCTGCCTCCATAATCACTTGAGTCAATTCCTTATCATGTTGGTTCTGTTTCTCTGGAAAGTTCCAACTAATACAAGGCAGATTATGTTGTAAGTTTCTCACTTCACACCTGGAATTGGGTATTGTACCAAGGAGTTGTATTATCATTTAGTGGAAATAATATTTAGAGACAAGTTGGGTGCTAGACATGCTTATTATTCTTGAGTTATCATTGATTCTGGGTCTTTTAGTGGACAGAACTTGGAAATATGCATGTTTTTAACTTTATTTTGAGATAAATTTTGATTTATGGAAGAGTTGCTAAAATAGTATAGAGAATTTCTGTATATCCTTCACCTGAATTCCCTTTATGTAGAATAGTTATTAAAATGAGGAAATTAGCCTTGGTACAATACTGGTAACTAAATTACAGGATTTATTCAGACTTCACATACTGATTTACATCAGTTTTCTGTCAATGTCTTTTTTTCTGTTCTGGGATCACAAATGGTATTTAGTTGTCATGTCTCCCTAGTCCGCTCCAGTCCATGAGTGCTCCTCACTTTTTCGTCTTTCATGTCTTGACAGTTTCAAAGAGTATTGTTCATTTGTTATATTAGTTTTCTTTTTTAAAAATTGAATCTTTCTTGTATTTTTCCATTGCCATTTAGTCCCCTTGTGCCTCATCCCCCCAGCAATCACTGCACTGTTGTCCATGTCCATGAGTACTTCATTCCTTTTTGCTCAGTCCCCCTCCCCCACTAGCTGTCATCCTTTTCTCCTTCTGTGAGTCTGTTCCCATTTTCCTTACTAGTTCATTTTGTTCATTAGATTCCAACTCTTGTTGCATGAATTATTCCTTTTAATTGCTGAATGGTATAGTAGTATTCCAGTATGTGGATTTACCACTGTTTATCCTTTCATAAGTTGAAGGAAATCTGAGTTATTTTTAGTTTTGGCAATTACAGATAAAGCTGCTATAAACTTTGATTACAAACATTTGTATGAACATAAGTTTTCACTTGAATAGGAATCTGGGAGTAGGATAGTTGGGTCATATGGTAGGTGTGTATTTCATTTTATGAGACTGCCAAACTCTTTTCCAAAGCTGTTGCACTATTTTACATTTCCCCAAGTAATGTGTAAGAATTCCAGTTGCTTTGCTGTTGCTTTTTGTAAGAATTCCAGTTGCTTTGCTGTGGCTTTTTGTTCATTGAAATTTTTATTGGGATAATTGTAGATTCATATGTAGTTATAAGTGATAATACAGAGAGATTCTATATTCTTTGTACCAAATTTTTCATAATGGTACATCTTGCAAAACTAAAGTACAATATCACAAACAAGATATCAATAATGATGCCATCCATCAGTCTTGTTCAGATTTCCCCAGTTTTACTGGAGCTCGTGTTTGTGTGCATGTGCGCGTGTGCATGTGTGTTTAGTTCTATACAGTTGATCACATGTGAAAGTTTGTATATCCAGCACCACAGTCAAGATACAAGAGTTCCATGACTTCAAGGATCCCTCATGTTGTTCCTTCATAAGCAAACCCATCTATTTGTTCTCCACATTTACCTCATCTCTCACTTTGGTAATCACTGATATGTTCTCCATTTCTGTAGTTTTGTCATTTCAAGAGTCTTATTGTTCAACAAGAAGAAGACAAAAAAATTTTAATGAGCAAAGGATTTCAATAGCCATTTCTCCAAAGAAGATCTACAAATTAGTGAGAAGCACGAAAAAAAATACTCACCATCATTAGTCATTAGGGAGATGCATATCAAAACCACAGTGAGACACCACTGTAGACCCATGATGATTATTTTTTTGTTGATTTAAAGAGAGACATCAACTTTTTGTTCCAATATTTATTTAAGCATTTAATGGTTGATTCTTGTGTGTGCAAGATTGAACTGCAATCTGCTCATATGGGGATGATGCTCTAACCAACTGAGCTACCCTGCCAGGACAATTTTTATAATTTTAAAAAAGAAATTGGCAGAGATATAGAGAACTTGAAATTCTTGCACATTACTGGTAGAAGTCTAAAATAGTATCATAATTGTGGAAAACAATTTGGTAGTTTCTCAAAAAGTTAAATGTAGTTACTATATTACCCAGCAGTTCCACTCAAGGTATATACCCAAGATAATTGAAAACATGTCCACACAGAAACTTTACATGAGTGCTCATAGCTGCATTATTCATGATAACAACAAGTGGAAACAACTCAAATGCCCATAAGTTGATAAACAAAATTTATTATATCCACACAATGGACTACTATACAGCCATAAAAAGGAGTGCATTACTAAAACTTGCTGCAACACAGATTAACTTTGAAAACATTATGCAAAGTGAAAGAAGCCAAACACAAAAGGCCATATGTTATATGATTTCATTTAAATGAAACACCTGGAATAGACAACTCCATAGAGACAGAAAGTTCATGGTTGCCAGAGGATGAGGGCTACGGTGGGCTCTCAGGTATGGGTTTTTTGGTTTTTTTTTGGCAGGGTGGGATGGTGAAGACGTTTCGAAACACTGAAAACTATGTCTACACAAAAACCCACACATAAAGCTGTTTATAGCAGCTTTATTCATAGTTGCCAAAACTTGGAAACAAGCAAGATGTCCTTCAGGTGAGTTGATAAATAATCCAGACAACAGAATATTATTCAGTGCTAAAAAAAATGAGATAGCAAGCTATGAAAAGACATGGAGGAACCTTAAATGTATTTTACTAAGTGAAAGAAGCCAATCTGAAGAGACTACACATTGTGTGACTCCAACTATCCTACACTCTGGAAAGGGCAAAACTGAGAGACAATGAAAAGATTGGCGCCTGTCAGGACTTGCAGGGAGGAGGAGATGAGCAGGCAGAGCACAGAGGCATTCTAGAGCAGTGAAACTACTCTGTATGACACCATAGTGGTGAGTAGATCTCATTCCACATTTGTCAAAACCCACAGAATGTACAACACCAAGTCTGAACCCTAATGTAAACGGTGGACTCTGCGTGACAATGACATGTCAGTGTAGGCTGGTGGTGACACGTGTGCCACCATGGTGCAGGGTGTTGACAGTGAGGGGGGCTGTCCATGTGTGGACGCAGAGGGTATATGGGCACTCTGTTCTTTCTGCTCTATTTTTCTATGAACACAATACTCTAAAAGTCAACTTTTTTAAAAAGTTCTAGAATGAGGTAGTAGTGATTGTTGACAGTATTGTGAACATACTAAAGGACCACCATGTTGTAAATTGTGAAAGGTGGGTTTTATGCTATGGGAATATCTCACTGTTAAAATGAAGGACATGTTCCAAGAAATTATGTAAATGGAATCAAATGGTATATAACCTTTTGGGACTGGGTTTTTTTCCACTCAGCATAGTTACTAGAGATTCATCCAGGTTGTTGCGTGTATCAATACCCCACTCCTTCCTGTCACTGAGTAGCATTCCGTGGTGTGGATGCACCTCAGTTTATCCAGCCATTCACCTGTTAAGGTATGTCTGGTGTTTCCAGTATTGACTCTTAAATAAATCTGCTGTGGATATACTTCCGGCCAAGATGGAGGCATAGGTAGATACACTGTGCCTCCACACAACCAAGATAGGGACAACAACAATTTAGAAATAGAATAACAACCAGAACTGACAGAAAATTGATCTGAATGGAAGTCAGACAACCAAGAAGTTAAAATTGACACGTTCATCCAGACCGGTAGGGGGTGGAGTCAGGCAGCCGGGCATGGGTTGTAGCGTGGAGAGCAGAGAGTGTTGGGACCGGGTGTGTAAGGCATCCGGGGTGTGCAAGACCTCAGCGGGTGGACCCAGAGCACACAAGCAGCAGCGGGCAGACGCTGGCTGAGGGGTGGCAACCGGCAGACACAGTGAGGTGGCGATTGTGAAGCAAGGCACTGCGTGCAACCCAGGATACCAGCGCTGGGAAATAGAGCCTTGGGGCACTGATTGAAAATACTTGTTGGAGTTGAGGCACAGGGAGAGACTACCAGACTCACAGGAGAGGTCATTGGAAAGTCCCACAGGGTGCATGAGCCCACCCAGCGGGAAATAGCACCAGAGGGGCCCAATTTGCTCAGGGGAAGTGGAGGAAGGGACTGAGGTCCGACAGAGAGAGGAGCAAGCACCATTGTTCCCTCTGAGGCGCTGGTCCCACATAACAATGTCACAACCCAGTGACTGGGGTGCCCCACCCTGTTGAATACCTAAGGCTCTGCCCCTCATACATAACAGGCACAACCAGACCAAAGGGAGGGAAAAAGATGGCTCAAACAGAATTGAAAGCCCCACAACCACTACTTTTAAGCAACTGAGAGATAGCCAACCTATCAGATGCACAGTTCAAAGCACTGTGATCAGGATGCTCACAGAATTGGTTGATTTTGGTCCCAAATTAGATGAACAAATGAAGGCTATAATAAGTGAAATGAAATATGCACAGGGAACCAATAGTGATGGAATGAAAGCTGGGTTTCACATCAATGGAGTGGACCAGAAGGAAGAAAAAAACAATCAGAAAAGAACGAAGAAATAAGAATTCAAGAAAAATGAGGAGAAGCTTAGGAACTTCCAGGACATCTTTAAACATTCCAACATCTAAATTATAGGAGTACCAGAAGGAGAAGAGGAAGAGCAACCATTGGAAAACTTACTTGAACAAATAATAAAGGAGAACTTCACCATTCTGGCAAAGGAAATAGACTTCCGGGAAGTCCAGGGAGCTCAGAGAGTCCCAAAGAAGTTGGACCCAAGAAGGAACACACTAAGGCACATCATCATTACATTAGCCAAGGTAAAAATGAAGGAGAGAATCCTAGAAGCAGCAAGAGATAAGGAGACAGTAACCTACAAAGGAGTTCCCATCAGACTGTCAGCTGATTTCTCAAAAGAGACCTTACAGGCAAGAAGGGGCTGGAAAGAAGTATTCCACGTCATGAAAGTCAGGGACCTACATCCCAGATTGCTCTATCCAGCAAAGTTTTCATTTAGAATGAAAGGGCAGATAAAGTGCTTCTCAGACAAGGTCAAGTTAAAGGAGTTCATCATCACCAAGCCCTTATTTTATGAAATGTTAAAGGGACTTATCTAAGAAAAAAAGATAAAAAACATGTATAGTAAAATAACAGCAAACTCACAATTATTAACAACCATACCTACAACAAAACCAAAAGAAACTAAGCAAACAACTAGAACAGGAACAGAACCACAGAAATGGAGATCACACGGGAGGGTTAGCAACAGGGGAGTGGGAGGAGGAGAGGGGGGAAAAGGTACAGAGAATAAGTAGCATAGATGGTAGGTAGAAAATAGACAGGGAGGGCAAGAATAGTATGGGAAATGTAGAAGCTAAAGAACTTGTGACACATGGACATGAACTAAAGGGGGGCATGTGTGTGGGAGAGGGTGTGCAGGGTGGAGGGGAATGAAGGGGGGTAATGGGATAACTGTAATAGCATAATCAATAAAATATATTTTTAAAAGAGAGAACTCTAAAAGCAAGAGATAAGGAGACAGTTACCTACAAAGGAGTTCCCATATGGCTATCCACTGATTTCTCAAAAGAAATCTTACAGGCAAGAAGGGGCTGGAAAGAAGTATTTGAAGTCATGAAAGGCAAGGAACTGCATCCAAGATTACTCTATCCAGCCAAGCTTTCATTTAGAATGGAAGGGCAGATGAAGTGCTTCCCAGATAAGGTCAAGTTAAAGGAGTTCATCATCACCAAGCCCTTATTATATGAAACATTAAAGGGACTTATCTTAGAAAAAGAAGATCAAAAATATGAACGATAAAATGACAACAAACTCACAACTATCAACAAATGAACCTAACAGAAAATAAAACAACAAAAACAAAAACAAACTAAGCAAACAACTAGAACAGGAATGGAATCAGAGAAATGGAGATCACACAGAAGGAGTTCAGTGGGGAGGGGGAAGGGAGAAATAGGGGGAAAAGGTACAGGAAAGAAGAAGCGTAATTAGTAGGCATAAGATAGATGGGGAGAAATAACAAATTGTATAGAAAAAAATAAATCTGTGAACACTTGGGTACAGGTTTTTAAATAAATATGTTTTCATTTTTCTGGAATAAATGCTTAAGAGTACAGTTGTTGGATTGTATAGTAATGGCCTGTTAGCTTTATAACAAACTACCAAACTTCCAGAGTGGCTGTATCATATTACATCTCCACACAACAGTGTGGGTGAGTGATGGAGTTTCTCACTAGCATCAGTTTTGCCACTCTTTTTTTATTTTAGCCATTCTCATAGGGGAGTAGTGATGTCATTGTAGTTTCAGCTTGCATGTCCTGGTGGCTCATGAAGTTGAACATCCATTCATGTGCTTATTTTTCCCTTGATGCAGAATTTAATCAAGCTTCTAGATCTCTACCATTTTACAGGAAGTACAAAAGGGAAACAAGTTAAACAATATCCTCAGGATGCAATAAGTGAAATTCAGAAATGGAACATTCTGTGGGAAATAGATTCTAATTCCCACAACAAATCAGTGACTCCAAAGGAAAAAGTGTATATATGGGGGTGACTGTTGCAGACTCAAAGAGACTTAAAAGAAATAATAACTAGATGCAATATGTGGGCCTTTTTTGGATTTTGACTAGAACAAACTAAAAAACAAGCATGTTTGAGACACTTGAGGAAACCTGAATGTGGATGAAGTATTAAAGTTTACTAAGAGACATTTTAATGGCATAGTTGTTATATAGGAAGAAATTCTTACTAGATACAAATCAATACCCAATTATATACATGGTAATAACATTGCTAGGATTTGTTTTAAAATACACTAGAGTCCTGGCCGAGTGGCTCAGTTTATTGGAGTGTTCTCCTGTACAACCAAAGGTTGCAGGTTCGATTCCTGGTCAGAGCATTCACCTAGGTTGCAGTTTCAGTCCCCGGTCAGGGCATGTACAGAAGGCAGCCAGTCAATGTTTCTCTCTCACATCCATGTTTCTTTCTTCCCTCTCTCTCTTTTTCTCCCCCTCTCCAAAATCAATAATTATATCCTTGGGTAAGGATCAAAAATAGTCTTTTAAATAATAAAATCCTCTAGTAAAAGGAAAAAGTAAGAGTAGTATGGAAGAGTGGAGAAAAAAGGTTAACGAAATACTGGTAGTCACTGAAGATGAGTTTTGGCTACCTGAGGGTGTATTTTAATATTTTTCTTACTATTGGTGATGTTTGAAATTTTCCATGATAAAATATTTGGAAAATTATTTATTTAAATAGTAGTTCATATTTTACAGTAAAACTTAAATAATAGATTGCTGTTCTGAAAGCACTTGCCATTTTCTGATACAAACAAATTCAACCTTGATGAAAAAAATATGATTCTGGAAGATAAATAACTAAAGTTATGTGTTTTTTATTCAGGCAGAAGAAAACAAAAGATTGAAGGAACTCCAGCGTGAACAAGAAGAAAAACTGGCTGTGGAACTGGCAAAGCTAAAACACGCCAGTCTGAAGGACGAAAAGATGAGGCAGCAAGTGAGAGAAAACAGGTACATTGGTTTCTTTCTTTTTTTTTTTTTTAAAGATTTTTTATCTATTTATTTTTTTAGGGAGGGAGGGGGGGAGAGAGAGAGAGAGAGAGAGAGAGAGAGAAACATCAATGTGCGGTTGCTGGGGGTTATGGCCTGCAACCCAGGAATGTACCCTGGCTGGGAATCGAACCTGGGACACTTTGGTTCCCAGCCCGCGCTCAATCCACTGAGCTACGCCAGCCAGGGCTGGTACATTGGTTTCTATAAATTTCATTTGCTTAGTTTTTATCTTTAAACTTTTATGTAATGCTTAGTACCTGAGAGTGAAATTTCTGTTTATAATTATACATAGTTAATTGTGCCTGGAAATACTTACTGCTTTATATCCTCTATATATTCATTTGAGAAAAGAAGTTGTATTCCTGGAAGTAAAGTGTTAATATTTAAGGTGAAAAAAATCAGTTCCCTCTGCTCTTTTCTCTAAACATTTTTAAAATGACCTGTTATACCAAAAACATAGACTCACGGAAATCCACTCTTAAGAGAAACCTTAGGTGATGCCTCATTTAACTTTTGTGCTCCCACATAAACTGCTCACAGTACTTCTGGAATGTGGCTGGTCAGTGGTGGTCAGCGCCTCTAGTGACTGTGATAGGAATTTTCTTTTTCATTCAGCCCTAACTTTGAATAATCTTTTTCCCCCTGTTGTCTCAAAATTTATTTCCCTGTAACTTCTACATATTTATCTCTGTTTTGCTATCAGATGGAAAAAAATTAATTGTTCTTTTGGACATCCTTTCATGTTTATGAATCCACTAAATGTTTTCTTCTGTAAGTTAAATATCCCTCATTCCTTTATTTGCTCACCATCCAGGTTCTCTTCTGTAGATCTAATGGAGACTATTGGTGTTCCTGAACAAAATAATGCCCCACAATTTCTTTCTTTGTATCATTGCACTCCCTCCTGGGTACTGCTTAGTACCCCTAATAGTAGGACTACTAACCATATTGATCTAGAGTATGTTTTGTTAATATTGCCTAAGATTTAATTACTTTTTAGGGGCAGCCATTTCACCCTTCTGATTGAAACTCAGGGCTAACTAAATGCCCAGCCTGTACTTGCAGGTATATAGGTGAATATACTGGAAATTTACTTTGATAATTGTTGCATTTTATCTCAGCAGGGTTTCTGTAGAATATGATATGGCTGTGGATGAGTTTCAGGGGTTTTGAGTCTCATTAAATTATATTTATATGGCCCTGGCTGGTGTGGCTCAGTTGGCTGGAATGTCATCCTATACACCAAAAGGTTGGGGGTTCCATTCTGGGTCAAGGCACATTCCTAGGTTTAGGGTTCCATCCCCTGCCAGGGTGCACACGGGAGGCAGCCACTCAATGTTCCTGCCTCACATCAGTGTTTTTCTCTCTCCCTTTCTCTCTTCTTCCCTCTCTACAATCAATAAACATTTTTTAAAATCATGCATTTGGCAAATAAACCCATGTGTATTTTCGTATGTCCACAGCTTTTAGATTCTACAAGGGATTATTCCTGAAAAATGATTTAGAATTACTGCAGATGGTTAAAATGTCTTCATGTTGTTCTAGTCTGAAACTACCTTTTGGACCTTAACTCTCCAATCATTGTTAGCTATCACTCATTGTTTTATATTATCGGACATGTCTGTGTCTAATTCACTGATACAAGATTTAAATAGAAGAGCTTTCCAATTCTAGCAGTTGTAGACTAAGTGATGCGGATAAATTCCCTCTCTGAGAAGAAAGTATCTGGAGAAAGTGTAAAAGAACTAGGAGAGGAAAGAAGCCAGAATGGTGAGCCTGGAGCTTGTAATCTGATTCCCAAAAACAGTGAGTTAAGTGAAGCAGAGCTTGGCCAATAAGCAGATGCCCAAGTGTTTGACATCATTCTACAGGTTGTGTGCTTCAGATTTGGGCACTGTAGTGTTTGTTTTCCTTCAATAATACAGAATTTAATTAAAATTTAATAAATTGAAATAGATAAAGAGATAAAGTGTTAGCAGGTTAGTGGAAACTATCCAGGATAAAGCACAGAGAGACAAAAGGATAGAAAAATACACTGGAGAACGTAAAAGAGATAGGATGGAAAGTTCTAACAGGTACATACTTTTAGTCCTGGTGTGAGACATGAAAGAGGATGATTCAGAGCGATATTTGAAGAGGTTCCGGCCAAGAATTTCCAAAAATGATGGAAGACATAAAGCCACAGGTTAAAATACAATAAATTAAAAACTAGACCTATACTCATAGTCAAACTTTTGAAATCCAACAGTAAAGAAAATCATAAAAATAGGAAAAAATAGCCACACAAAAAAAGACTATTACCTTTAAAGGAGTAACACTAAAAACTATGACTGCATTTTCAACACCAAGAGTGGAAACTAGAAGACAGATTTAAAGGACTGAAAGAAAACAATAGCCCACCTAAAATTCTGTACCTTGTGAAAATTTTCTTCAAATTTAAAACAAGTCATTCCTTTGAGCACTCTTTCAAATAGTGTATGCTGTGTCTCAGCAATGCAAAACTGCTAAGAATATCTTATATTTTGCATAAGCCATGGTAAATTTTTGACTAACATGCGAAAATGGACCGATTTCATGATGAGTGTGTTCACCAAATTGGCAAGTCTAAGGAAATGTCTGCTGTGGTACTCAAAGTCACCTATATTAAGAATAGGCTGTTTACATTTAAAATTAATTAATTTTCGAAACTCAGGATAGCCCTGGCTGGTGTAGCTCAGTGGATTGAGAACTGGCCTGCAAAACAAAGTGTCATGGGTTCAATTACCAATCAGGGCACATGCCTGGGCTGTGGGCCAGGTCCCCAGTAGGGGGCACATGAGAGGCAACCACACATTTATCTTTCTCTTTCTCCCTCCCTTTCTCTAAAAATAAATAAATAAAATCTTACAAAGAAAATGAAAACTCAGGGTAAATTTTTTAAATCATTGAAATTTATTTTTAAAATAATTATATTCATAAGTCATGAGACTTTTGTTATTTGATTTTTTAACGCATTTTTTTCTAAGAAAGTATGTAAAATAATTTAATTTTATCACTGCTTTTAACTGGAGTTGGGAAACTCACTGCCCATTTTTAGAAATCTTATGTTAAGTATAGTACAAATTAATGAATAATTATAATTAATAGCACAATTACTATTTATACATATTTATAATTATTAAAATTTATTCATTAGCTGTATAATTACAATTTATAATTAAATTATAATCATTTATACAATTTATAATTATTGCATTATTAGCACGTACATGTTTAGTACATAGTAAACAAATGTATTTATGAACATGCAAAATCAGTACTTCACCTATAATTTGTATTTAACTTCAGCAAAAGCAAGCTCAAAGAGACAGAGATAGTATTTCCTTGTTAAATATATAACCTGTTTGTTGCTGATGCCAGTGCAATTGTATTCCAGACTCATAATCAAGATATTAATTGTTGGTGGGACTGCAAACTGGTGTAGCCACTAATATGGAAATTTCCTCAGAAAACTAAAAGTGGAACTGCCTTTTGACCCAGCAATTACGCTGCTGGGATTATGTCCTAAAAACAGTGAAACACCAATCCCTAAGAGCCTATGTACCTCAATGTTCATAGCAGCACAATTTACAATAGCCAGTAAATAGCCAGTGCTGAAAGCAACCTAAGTGCCCGTCAGTAAATGAATGGATCAAAAGTCTATGCTACATTTACACAATGGAATACTACACAACAGAAAGAAGGAAGGAGCTCCTACCCTTTTCGTCAGCATGGATTGATCTAGAGAGCACTATGCTAAGTGAAATAAGCTAGGCAGTGAGGGACAAATACCATATGATCTCCCTTTTAACTGGAACCTACAACAAACAAGCACGCAAAATATAACCAGAGACGTTGAAATTAAGAACAATGTGACAGTAACCAGAGGGGAAGTGGGAGGGGATAATGGGGGGAAAGGGGGAAGGGTTTTCAGGAACAACTATAAAGGACACGTAGACAAAACCAAGGGGGGGGGGATGGAATCAGGGGAGGGAGGTGGGGATGGCTGAGGTGGGGATGTGTAGTGGGGGGTAAATGCAGACAACTGTACTTGAACAACAATAAAATAATTTTAAAAAATAAAATGCAGGTTTTCTAAGACCAAAAAAAGGTATTAATTATGAATACTAAGTATGCGATATGGATAAAAAAATAACATTTTCAGGTATTTCCTTAAGGTAGAGGAATCAAAATGATCCCAACATTAATTTCAGAGCTTCAGTAAGGTAAACAAATAGTAAATCTAGATACTTTGAATATGTAAATCATTTATTATATCTTTTGGGGTTTAATATATATAAAGATTTAAAATATAAATTATAACAAAAGTGAGATAGGAAGTAAATATTGTATGTGGAATTAAAGTGGTCAAGAATTTTTTTCTAAATAAAATTTCACCTTTTAAAAAAAAGGACGGGGGGCTGGAAGGCTGGAATAAAATTTGAAGGACTTAAACAAAAGAACTCAGACAAAACTATAAAAATTCTAAAAAGTTACAGTTGACATATACGATTATATTAGTTTCAGGTGTACAGCATAGTGATTAGACATTTATATATCTTATGAAGTGATCATCCTGGTAAGTCTAGTATCCATCTGTCACCCTACATGTTATTACAATATTATTGATTATATTTTCTATGCTGTACTTTATATCCCTGTGAATGTTTATAACTAGCAGTTCATATTTCTTAAGCCCTTCACCTTTTTCACCTATCTCCCCAGTGCCCCTCCCATCTGGCAACTATCAGTTTGTTCTCTGTATCTGAGTTTGTTTCTATTTTGTTAATTTATTTTGTTTTGTAGATTCCACATATAAGTGAAATCATATGGTACTAGTCTTTCTCCATCTGACTTTTGTGGCCAAGTGATACATCATTGTATATGTGTACTACATGTTCTCCATCCATTTGTTTATCAATGGACTCTTAGGTTGCTTT